TGGCCTTTGTCGAGCTAGGCAGACCAATGCCCCACCTCACACCGGCTAAACATCTCCTTGCCACTGTCCCCCCAGCTTGCGTGCCCGTTACAAGTGGATACAAATGGGGCTTTCACAAAACCTTTACCATCCCCTACGGCATCGTCCATTTGAAAGGGGAAGAAACAGTGGCGCAAGGGACGTACCGGGTCACCAGCCAGGCTCTCGATGCCATTCTCCAACACCTCTACCCGCCACACCCAGGCCAACTTGGCCACCGCACGTTTCCTGAGCCGGAAAATCAAGCAGGAAATCGATCCAGGCTGAACGATCATTACCTCATTCGAGGAAAGTGGGTTGGAAGGACATCAGTGACATTACAACCATTGTGCCAAGGCATGTATTTTCCGGGCCTGCAATAACAGCAATGGCAATATCACACCTTCCAGCAAATTCGTGGAGCTGGGATTGGGTCCCAACTCTCACGCCCTCTGCAACGTAGCCATCACCCTCATCAAACACGCGTGGCACCAGCTCCACAACAACCTTCACACGCACCTCCACTTCACCTACTACCACTATGTGGACAACCGCTTCATCACTCACAACGACACGTTCTTGCGCCACCCAGCCATCCAAACTTTGATCCACCCCGACTTTTTCGGGGGTCCAGTGGAACTAGAACCCGTGGATGACTTTCACCTGCTTGGGTTCAACGTCGACCTCGCGACACGTACCGTCACCTACATTCAACCCACCCAACCATGGAAAATACATGACGCCGCCTCAGCCGGCGCACAACGCTTGTCCTCATTGACTTGTACCTGGTTAAAGGGCGTCCGGCGAGTGCTTGCCGACGCTTTCTCAACCAGAACAAAAAAGAGCTCCGAGCGTCGAACCCTGTGTCTAAGGGACTTTTGCTGCCAACATTTGAAGCAGGGGGACGGGTCACCGCTGATACTGCCCATCCAAAGAAGAAAGGAGTCTTGGCGCTGATGCAGCGGAGGACGCTTCACTGTGTACCTGCTTGAAAAACATTGACACCACTGGTCCACCCTTCCGGTGTTTTTTGCTTTCAGGGTGTTTTTCACGCTGCTTTCTACAAACCCTTTCCAGCAGACATGCCGCCTTGCAGCCGACTGTTCGTGCAAGTGAAACCATTTTGTTCAAACATCTACAAATCAGCTGACCCAGCATTGCAGTTGACCCAGTCCTTTCTCTGTGAATTCTCTTACTGCATGAAACTCTGTCCAAGTGTGTCACCTCCCGTCTCTAGGTGGAATCACTGCCAACAAAGACGTCCACATTCTCTGGCGAAGCATTGGGAGACGTCCCGATGTGTACCTGCTTTTGAGCTTTGGACTCTCTGTGGTAAACAATACTGTTCTTGGACTTTCTCGCCTTACCGTTCCTCACAGGGCCATTTCAAAGGCTCTAGTCTGGTATTGCAGTTACTAATCTTAAAGTGCCGTGAACTCCTGAACACTGGCACAGCTCCGTGGAGCCCCCTTCTGAAGTGTGATGCGCAGCTTCTTCCCACTACATTTTGCACGCATCACTCCCAGAGTACATTTTGATACATTTTGCAAAGTCCATTTCAATGGACTTCATCTTCTGAAGTGTCTCACCGGCGTATTTTGCATTCATGCTGCAAGAGCTTACTGAATTTCCACTTCTGAAACTGTTTCACACGCGAGGTTCAACTTTAACTTGCTTGAACCTTATCGTTTTTCAAATTTTCAAGTCTTTCTCTCCTTCCTGTCTCGTTTCGTTTATCATTATGTTTTTCTTGTTCGTTTTCTGTTTTCTAAAGGCTTTTTAGGTATAACACAGGCTGCGCCGGATTCGGCTTCTTGGTATCAATGTGCCCAGACACCGTATCTAATGAATCTCCATTATTTTGACGTTCATTCGGCAGCTGTGCAAGTCACTACACCTATTTTCTCTCTTGCCCTTTTCTTTTTTGCTCTTTCTCTCTTTACTTTTGCTCGTTTTTCTACAGGCTTGTTAGGTGGCTATTCAGGTTTTTGACACCTTTGTTTGGCAGATGTGCAAGTCACTACACCTATTTTCTCTTTTGCCTTATTTTTTTTTGCGCTCTCTCTCTCTCCTTTTCTATAGGCTTGTCAGGTTGCTATTCAGGTTTTGTCGCTTACAGAGCACTTGCTACACGCGCCGTTTCAGCTACGTGTGTGTGTCAGCCCCCCTCTCTAGGGATTCTACCTTCCTACTTTACAGCGGGGGGCAGTGATAGAGTCTGTGGAATCACTGCCAACGAAGACGTCCACATTCTCTGGCGAAGCATTGGGAGACGTCCCGATGTGTACCTGCTTTTGAGTTTTGGACTGTTTGTGGTAAACAATACTGTTCTTGGACTTTCTCGCCTTACCGTTCCTCACAGGGCCATTTCAAAGGCTCTAGTCTGGTATTGCAGTAACTAATCTTAAAGTGCTAACACCGTGAACTCTTGAACACTGGCACAGCTCCGTGGAGCCCCCTTCTGAATTGTGTGTGTGTCACACAATGCTTTAGCAGGCTCTACGCGACTTGTTTCTCGACTAAATGCCATCCGTGCTTGCAGCTTCGCTGCTGCTGCGGCCCATGCTGCTACGGAAGCGCTGATCTCGCTCTATGTCTAGAAGGGACATGACATTGCTGAGCGCAGAAGGATTGTCACCCCAAAAAAACAGAACAGGCCACCACGGGAGTGCGCTTTTTTGCGCAAATTTGCAATATTTAAAGTATCTGTCTCTCACTGCATCTGTCTCTTACATTGCGTGAAAAGGCCGAAAGACACATGCAAACCAAAAAACAAAAACAAGATTGCAATGCCTGTGAAACCAAGAAAACCCAAACAAAAAAAAAATAGACCAGATACCTCTAAAATCCAAAAAACAACCAAAAAAAACAAAACTGCAGACCCCATTGGGGCTCTTGTCTGACTCTGTGGACATGTGGTCTGCAGTTTTGTTTTTTTGTTTTTTTGATTTTCGAGGTTCTGGCCATCTGGAGCAGACCATGCAAAAACCTCGAAAATCCAAAAAATCAAAACTGCAGACCCCATTGGGGCTCTTGTCTGAATCTGTGGACATGTGGTCTGCAGTTTTGGTTGTCTCCTGTTTAGCCTTTCCTGGTTCCCTCTCCATGGGTCTGATTTTTTGTATTTTCGTTGGTCTACCAAAAAAATACAAAAGCAAAAAAGTATAAAAATCAGACCCGTGTCTCCTGTCTAGCCTCTCCTGGGTCCCCCTCCATGAGTCTGAACTTGTTGGACCTATGTCTTCTGTCCAATCTCTCCTGGGTCCTTCTCCATGGGTCTGATTTATTTTTGGCTGGCCTGCTAAAAAAGAAATATATACAATTTCCTATTCATTTCTACATAGTTATTAACTCAGCTCTAATTTAATTCTATGAAATTTGACTTAAATACAGTTTAACTAAATTCTAAATCAATATTTATTCTAATTGAATGTGTTTCATTTCTATTTTTACTGATAATAAAATTGGATCTAAATGAATTTTAAATTGAATTTGTTTTGAATATGTAATAGACTTCTATTTTAATTCTAAATTGAACCCAATTAAATTCTAAATTAAGTTTATGTATTTTTAAAATACATTAATCAAATTGTAATTCACTTTTATTCTAATTTAATTTTGTTGTAATTGTAATTATCTTTGATTATTCTGGGTCTGATATTAAATTCCAAATTGAATTTATATGTGAATTTGCAATATATTTCGAATTTAATTCTAAATTGAATATATTTGCATTCTATTTATTGGAATTCAAATTAAATTTGCAATTTTCATTAAATTAATTTATTTGTAACCTAATTTTATATCAATATTGCAATATTGTTCTATTAATTAATTCCTAGGTTAAATATCTTTAATTCAATTCTACCTTAGGTCTAGGTCAATTTCAATTTGAATAATGGATTTTGATTTAATATTGTTCATTCAATTCCAATTTAATTCCAGTCTTTATACAACTTAAATTCAATTGACCTATATATGTAATTTTCTAACTTGATTCCAATTCAATGCAAATGGAATTCTAATTGAGTTTTGCTTCCATTCTAGAGAATGAATATTATTGGTGGCATGAATATATTTCACTAAAGAAAGAATATACTTCCATATTGGAAAAATTTCATAAAAAATCTTTTATGTTCAAAGCAAGATCAATTCCCTAGCAGAATTTCATAAAATCCAAATTTTAAATCAACACTAATGAAATATTAGAATTGAATCTAAACTATATAATAATGAAATTAAAGGTAAAATCGAATTATAATTTGGCTTGCATTGGATCCCAATGAAGGAAATTTGAAGCAAAATAGAAATATAATTGAAATAGAATGGATCCTGAATTTATATATAGATTTGAATTTGAATTGAATAAGAATTAAACTAGAATTTAGTTATTTAAATAGGATTTATAACTATTTGCCTTCTAATTCTGATGTATTTACCCAACTGCATTTAATAAGAGCAATACAATTCCCATTCTAAAGGAAAGAAATATGATTTTGCATGGAGACTATTTGGTAAACACCTAGCTTATGGATTTAATCATTTCTATAATTCATAATTGAATGAATAAATATGTTTACCAATTGCATATAGAGCAGGAAATTGACAAATTTCACAACCCTATTAAAAAGATATCATTCACCATAAAGAACAAAACCTTACAAAAGAACAACTTTCAAAAGCCTATCAATGCTTAAAAAAGAACATCTTTCACAAGCCTATCAATGCAAGAGAGATTGCTTGTTTATATTGTAATTTTCAGCATTTCAGCAGCAAATAGAAGGCTTTGAAGTAGAGAGTGCAAAAAACGCGGGTGGATGAAAATTTTGCAAAGATGATTAGGTTCAGATGATGCAGATGAAGCTACAAATCATGGAAAAAAGTGCACTCCCAGAGCAGCCAGCTCTCAAGAAAAAATTGTGCGCTGAAATGGCGGCTACCTGTGTGTTTCCCACCCTGTTCCTAAGGGCCCCCCAGGTCGCTCTGAATTCTTGCTTGGTTCCCAGAAAAATGACCAAGATTCTCAAAAAGGTGCCCAAACAGGGGGACTGGAACCGATATGCTCATCCAGTCCTATGGCATGTCGGTGCACAAGGGGTCTGATCAACCACTTGCACATGCATTCTTTACAGCTAGTGTCCTGTTTCACCCGTGTTGAAACCAATTTTGTTCATCCGACTTTTCGCTTTACCGCTCTTTCAGCCAAGGCCTAGCTGCAAAAAAGATAATTGAGTCATTTTCTAAGTATGTGCGCGTGTGTGCTTCTTTGTAACGAGGGTGGCATTGCAAAATGCCAGCTGTTCTCCAATTTGAAGCTCTTTATGTTCTTGAATAGAAATCAGGGGGCGCTGCTGCCTTGAATGCCGTGAGAAAACATATACACGAAACATACACAAAACTACTTGCGGGGCTGCACTGGAACATTTGCGCCGCATGCATTGTCGGGAAAAAACTGTCCTGACCTTGAGCCTAAGCTGCAGAAGGTTTTGGCACCGCAGATCGAGAGAGTTCGTTTGTGGGTTGCACTTGGATCAATTAGGTTTTAAGATGGGGTAAAGACCTGCAAGTCAGAGCTTTAATTTTCCTGATCTCATTTTAGTGAGGATATATCCCAGACGGCCATCCGAAGGCTTGGTCCTCCTTGGTCTGAAAAAGCGTGGCTTTGGGGCTGGGAAGTGGAACGGCTTTGGCGGCAAACTGGATCCCGGGGAAAGCTTGGAAGAGAGCGCGCTGAGAGAATTACAAGAAGAATGCGGACTAACTGCAAGGATTGCAGATTTGCACTGGCGTGGGTGCCTGACGTACATTTATGATACAAAAGCCAAGGCAATGGAGGTCAATGTGTTTGATCTAGACAAGTGGGATGGCGAACCAATTGAAACGGACGAGATGGCACCACAATGGTTTCAACACGAAGCCGTGCCAATTGACTCCATGTGGGCAGATGATGATTATTGGCTTTTGCAATTCTTGGACGGCAAGTTGAACACTCCCTTCATTGGCCGTTTCAGGTTCAAAGGCCACGAAGGTTTGGCCAGCTCAGAAGTTCTGGAACATTCGATTGCACCTCTTTTGCCAGCATCGGTTCCAGGAAAGACAAGTCAACCCGGAGCGGCCATGGTGGTGTCAACTGTTTGCTTCCTTAATGCTCCGAGTCTAAGACCATTGGAATCATTCCTGCGCTACCACTTGTCGAAGGGATTTGCCAGAATTATGATTTTTGTTGATGCGCCTGACGACACGAGGACATTGAATGTTGTGCGCTGCTTTCCGGCTGCACGTGTGCTGTGCAAGGTTCGGGGCCCAGCACTCCTGCAAGAGCAAGAAAAGTTGTGCCCCTCTTTTGCAGCCCTACACAGTCACGTTGATGAAGTGTCAGCACGACAGCTCTTGGATGCCGAATTGGCTTCCATCATAGCTCCAGATCTTGGTTGCCGATGGGTGGTGTACCTGGATTCTGACGAGCTATTTTTTACTCACGATGACTCGGTTGTACCTCATTTCCAGATGCTTGAAGAGCGCAACATTTATCAAATGACATATTTGAACCATGAGACTTGGATGCTCTCAAATCACTTCCAAAGGGGTTTGGTTCTAGAGATGTCATAGTGAAGTCTTGAGTCAGCGTTAGACATGTATAGTGTACACGTGCCCCCCCTGTTTGCAAGGAAGGCGTTCCAGAGCAGAAGGATACAGACGACTATTTTGCAACAGTTACACTGTTCAAGCAGCATCACTTTTCAGTTCCTTTAACCTCCCAAGCTCGTAGTTCCCTGCACTTTTGGATGGAGAGGTCAAGGAGAAGTCAGTACTTCCTTTTCTACGACAATGGGAAGAGCGCTTGCAGGAGTGGCTGCGGGGCAGTTTCGCGTAGTCAACACCTCTGGAAGTTGCCTTCAGGGTACAAGTCCTGCACAGCCCTAGCAGACCCGAGACGCATGGACCCAGAGGGCTTTGTCGATTGCCCAGATCCTTGTGTGCTGCACTTTCCAGTTTGTGGTCTCAGGTGGCTGATTGCCAAGTACAAAACGCTTGGAAGTTTTCCTGAGAAGTGGCTAGGGAAAGTCTCAGTGTCAGATTCCTTTCACAAAGATGCGCGGGACTTGGCAAGTTGCACTGAAACAGCTGCAGGTGCACTCGAACAACTGTTCATGCAAGAAGTTTATTTTGATGATTCGGCAGAAGCTGCCCGGCAGCTTCAGTCCAGGACATGTATACGCGTGTTTGGCCATGTGCTGTTACTGGATTCATTGCCAGATCCCGACCATGCCCCTGAAGCGGTGACTGCCGCCGGAGCAACTTCAATTGAGATGTTTGATGGCCTCATGGGCATTGAGAAGGGATGGATTCTATCGAAAGCGATGCAATATTTGTAGCTCATTGAAACAAATAAGTTGTGTCAAAAGGCCACGGTTCATCGTTGCGTCTTTGAAGTAGCTTTTTCTTTGGTCACACTGTATGGAGTAAGACAGTGTGCGCTCGATCAATCCTTGGTCAATCCGATTTAAGCTTCCCTAAAAATCTAAGAACCTGCATACAAGGAAGGGTAAGCTATCCTGCATACATAGTAGCTTATGTAGCTAGTGGCAAATATATATATATATATTCTCAATTGTATACGTAGGCGTCCGCTCGATTAAGTAAGGGCGGACAAAAATAACAAAGTTTCATGCTGATTGATCCACTCATGGCGATGGCTCAGAGAGACTGTGAGAATGTAGCTCTTGATCACTCTACTGTTTCTGGCTCTTCCATTGTGCAATAGCCTAGCAATCTGTAGCGGAGCGGGGCAGGATAGCGAGATGGGCTCGATCGAATCAAAAGCAAGCAATGCGCTCAGCGCGCACCTTTTCCAATGACCTCCTCGGTCACTCCATAGCCAGGTCGTGGCGAGAGCTCAACAAAGGGGCCCGTTCTCGAGAAGCAAAGGGGCATCATGGAAAATCAAATCAACTCAAATCACTGAACCTGACATGCCGTGGTGAGTGTGTTGCACCAGCACAAAAAACGTTCAGGTTCAGGCTCTCTCTCCCTCTCTCAGCAGCAGCATTGCCGGTCAAGTAGCCACTAGCATCGATTGCGAGGGCTTGGAGCGTGTCGGCCGCTGCCAAGTGCTGCGCTTGGAGGATCAGGGTCTGCTCCAGGTAGCTATCCATGGCTCCATGGGCATGAAGGGGATGCGAGTCGTGGCCAAGAGCATCATCCACCTTCTGGATCGCAGTTCGACCAGAGCCAGGTTCGAAGAAGCTTCATGAGACCAATCCTGGCCTCTCCACGTTTCTTCGTGAGGGCATCGGCAAGGTCATATGTGATGCGAGCCAGCGCAGCTCACATCCAACCCCCTTGATGTTATCTCGAAGTTCAAATGCCTGCAATGCCGGCCCTCATATTGGATAGCCCCAAGAGTGGGCTTTCATTCAGCTCTACGGCGTCGTAGCCGCCGCAGCTGTCGGTGCAGACCACACCGCGCACCAGCTGCGCTTGCTCCTCCGCCAGCTTCTTGATGAAGTGGTCACGCGACTTAGAAATTGCTCGTCCCACAAGGTCTGCAAGGCCTTAGTGACCACATCGAACTCAAGACTTCCCTTCGTTGCGGACAAGATGCCCCTTTTCTATTCAGCATTGAGGCCTGCAGACTGGAGTAGTCTGAAGACCCTGAGAACTCCCAAGACAAAGGAGTCGGCCAAGGAGAACTCATCGATGCCGCCAAAGCCAGGTGGTACATCAGTCATTGCAACACCCACGGATCGATGGCTAGGAGTGCCATCCGTTGGAGGTGGACGATGGGGCGTTGAGGCACCAACAGAACCATCTCCACCATCAGGCGTTGTCCTTGCTGCCGGTGAGGTATCAGCAGCAGCTGCAGCACTGTGCCCTGCTTGTAGGAGTGCCTCAACAAATTCAGAATAGCCAAGACTGACATTTGCAGGATCCATCTTGGTTGCCGTTTTTCTGACAAGCGTTTACCTTTCAGTGGCTTTCCTTTTGGATTTTCTGGTCGAAAAGTCAAGAGTTCCCTTTTGATGACTTGCCATCACTCTTGCGACTTCAATGGGTCACAAGTCAGAAATCCTCAGGTAAGCGACAAGCTCATGCCAAACATCCCAACTGTTGATCCTTCAATGTGGTCAACTTGTCCTTATGAGGAGACTCGGCTTCCTTAGTGTGGCGGAGCTGGTAAGTTGACTGTTTGCTTGACTCATGCCAAGTTTGTGCAATATTCTGTCACCAGGTCACTTTCTCTTTGTCCTACAAAGCAATGTGGGTTCGCTGTGTGGGCGCCGGACTGACATCCTAGGTCATCTAGTCCACAAACAGAAGATCCCAAACACTTCTGAGCTGCTGACGAGATTGAATTTTGCATTATGGTTCAAAAGCCGCCCGCCCACTTGAAGGGAGTAGGTTGCAACGGGTGGATGCTCAAACAGTCCACTGGCGACAGCTTCTGGGAAAGGCTTCACTCCCTTTAAGGGGTGAGGCCTGCTAGAAGTTGGCAAAATCGAGCCTGCAATCCAGAAGGCAATACGCAGTCGTCCCCACCATGGATCCCTTAACAGCAAGCGGACCCAGTGCGGTCAGCCAGCAGAACGTATAGATTCAGATGAGCAGATCTGCTTATGGATATTCAACCCAGTTGGCTTTGTGTTTTCACTGGGCTGCTAACATAACTTCTACAACAACATGTGCAACCTGTCTGAAATGTCATGAGCCATACATCTGACTGAAGGCTGAGCGCAGGCCCAGATAGCCAGACAAACCACGAAAGGTAGCAGCATGCTTCAGCTACCTGAGTTTGCTTAGCTTGAGTGATCGTGGAGAAGTTCCCACGCTCACGAACTGGGAGAAACTGGAGCACTAGCTGGAACAGTTCAACTGGATGAGCTGGGGAGCAGGAGCTGGTGGGCAGGAATTGGTGCGCAACAAAGACACTGAGCACGCCATAAGTGCCCACAAGCTTTAAGCTTAATGGAAGTATTTAAGCGGCGCAGTAGTTTTTACAACCATTAGAGTGATCTTCGACTTTCGTGGACATGAGGAGGTTTGAGGAGTGATGAAGATGTATAAATACAAGTCCAAGTGGAATTTTCAATGTTAATGAGGATATGATGCACTAGAGGATGTGTGGTTGTTAATGTTGCGCAGGAGGTTGAAATTGGAGAAGCAGCAGGGGTTGAGGAAGAGTTGATTTGGGAAGGGTTTTGCCAGTGGATGTTGGAATTTGTATATTTTAGGCCGTTTATTTCTTGAGCGGCAATTTCTTGTAGGGCGTTTACGATTTACGACACATGAGTTTGGACAGTTAGGACACATGGACTTCGAGGTGCTACAAAATATATTGAAGGGAAGAGAGGGTCGTGATGTGCTGCTTCAGGGGCTAGCAAGCATGTCAAAATCAGAGCCTGACTCGAAAGGCTATGTTGGAACCATCATGGAGCCTGGGAGGACTTGTGCGTTAATGTGATGTTTGGAGAGGCGTAAAAGATATACCTTGGAAGGAAAGGTACATGTAGGTTTGTTTGCAGTTTTGAAAGATGCTTGATTTTTTGATGATGAGGGAGTAAGAGGTGGATTATGTCGCTAAACCCTGGTGGAGAAAGATTGTTAAGGGGAGCTGGTCGAGATGCCGGAACCAGTTTTTATACAGAAGGGGCCGCCATGGGGCCTGCGCATTGGTTTGTTGTATCTAGACTTATATAAGTTGTATTGAACTGCATTGAACTTTTAGATGACTGTGAATAACATAAAACTAAAACTCGTAAGACATATATAATGAAAAGCCAGACAAAGAAACCATATTTAAAAAAGCAACACACACTTGAGAGAATGCGTACGGAAATTGAATGCCACATGCCACGCGCCCACCTAGGTATGAAAGCTTAGTAATGCGGTCTGACCATCTTAGCGACACCACAGTTCAAAAGGAAACCAAAGGTCAAAGTTCAAGTCCTAGTGCGTGACTGCGGTGGGGGAACGGATGCAATGGCTGGTCATTTTGTTCTAGGTACGACGGGACCAAGTAGGAAATTCTCAAGTAAAACTGCAGGTACACATGGGTGATCAATCCGTGCTTCCCACTCCTAGGCATAGCTTCGTTGCACTGAGTTTGCCAACGAGTGCTCACTGCCCCTGCTTACCTCTAAAATCAAAGTGCACAAATCAACGGCTTCCCTGTGATTCCAAGAGTTTCACACACACGCCTCCCGCGATGGGAGGTCAGATCTTTTTCTGAGCGCCGGGCGTACGAGGGGCGGAGCCTTGGCTGTACACGCGGAATTTGCCTCGCCTGTACACGCGCAGAATTTACCTCGGTTGTACACGCGCTACTCGGATGTACACGCGGCTTACTCGGCTGCGCACGCGGCTTGCTCGGCTGTACACCGTGGTACTGTGGAAGCAATGAGCAAAAAGAGATCATCATGTAGATGAATGTCCAGAGGGACGTTATTAACACCCCCCCCCACCCCCCGTCCCAACCCAACAGGAAGCAATGAGCAAAAAGAGATCATGATTCAATTTGTGTGTGCGCAGGTGAGGCGAATCATGTGTGCGCAGCTGAGTTTGAGGTAACATGGGCTGTTTAAAGAAGAATGTAATCGATGTGTGCGCAGCTGAGGCGAATCGTGTGTGCGCAGGGGAGTTAAATATATATATATATATAAATATAAATATAAAAAGTCTGTGTGCGCAGGTGAGGCGCCATCCCGTACGAGGGTGAAAGTAAAGGCCCCAGAAAAGGTGAAAACTCTGTCTGTTTGGGATAGGCAGTCAGGGGACCAATGGCGTCATCATGAAGGCGAGAAGGACGGGGAGGAGGGCCGAATCTCGGTGCATGCGCTCGGGGATATTCGTCAATGTAACCTATGGGGCGGACGTGGCGAACGTTGACAAAATGCAAGACCAAACTTCCAATGAGAAGGTGTGTGGAGCTTCCCAAACTCGAGAGTCACCAGGGGAGAGCCAACCACAAGGAAGCCTTGAGGTCATCAACCGTGTACTCCTTTTCACCCAAAACGGCAGCAGTAAGCGTGACATGGATGTTGTTCAAGGGTTGGTGGACGAGGAGGCTGGTGTCCAGATCAAAACGCACAGTCAAGAGATTGGGCGCTTCCTGAAGGCGACCATACGTAAATGGTCCTGTTCCCCACAGTGTCTTGGTCTCGGCTCCCTGTGCCACAGTTCCTTCCCCGCAGTGTCCTGGTCTCAGCTCTCTGCGCCCCAGTTCCCTGCCCCTGCCCTGTCCCCAGTTCCCTGACCCCAGTTCCCTCTCCAAGTCCCCTGCCCCTAGTTTCTTTGGCCCCCAGTTCCTGTCTCCAACTCCCTGGCTCCCACTCCCCTCTCCCCAGTGCCCTGCCCTCACCCCAGTAGAGCGGATTTGGTAAGCGAAGACCTGGAGAAGAGATCATCGCGATGTCGGGGGGTGTTCACTTGATCTTCAGGAGTGAAGGCAGGTGGGCGAGGTGAACCAGAATGGCCGCGGGGAGATAAAGGGGGTTGAAGATAACGGAGAGGGAGTAGTCAGATGATTCTTGATGCGTGAGTCCGCGCCATTGGGGAAGCAAAAATGCTGGTGTAAATTCGGGTGTGTCGCTGGGGAGCGGGATAATTAGCGGTGTCCACGATGCTTCATGTCACATTGCGCATATTTAGTTTGTTGCAGACTGTGTGGCAAATTTCCGTCCGCTGACGTGAGTCCGTGCCATTGGGGGCAGAAAAACACGCTGGTGCGGGGTGATTCGCAGCGCCCACGGTACTGCATGTTACACATTGTCGGTTGACAAAGAGCTGGGTGATCCCCAAAGAAATGGAATCATCGAACATTTGGAAACGCTGTCTGCGCCCTGCAGTTCAGAAATGCACAAGCGTTGTAAAATCCTGTGGAATCACTGAGACGAGGTGTTTGCGCGCAGGTATGTGCAGGTATTGGTGGTCGTTTACAAGAAGGTACCACCAGCCGTTTACGTATAGGCGCTGGCCGTTTACAAGGCGGTACGCATTGGCCCCTTTTTCAAGAAGGTATTAGCCATTTACACGCAGGCACTGCCAGTTTACAAGAAGGCATTAGCCATTTACGCACCGGTCATTTACAAGAAGGCATGATCCGTTTACGTATTTTCCCGTTTACAATAAGTCTTTATGCCCTAAAGTTAGGTGTTTAAGCAGCGTGTATCTTAGTTATAGTCTTAAGGTCATTCTTTGTGTTTTAGTTCGTTCTTCAAACGTCATTCCCTTTGTTCCTCTCTGTTCTCAAGTTGCTAGATCTTGCGAGTGGCGAAATGGTTGGCGTTCGGATTTTGATGATGTGAGCGCGGGGTTGAATAAGTTTCATTAGGACCAATGCCAATGCCAATGCTCCACTTGGGATGTTTCATCTTCATAGCTTTATCTCAGCGGCTTGAGAAGAAGTTAGTAAGCGTTTTGTTGACAATGATGTTCTGCCTTGTTTTGGCACAAACTCAGATTTGGGTCTGGCTAGCTGTTCACCTGACATCCCCGACCGATGGGTCTAAGCCCCCTGGACTGACGAAGAGAGCTCGGCAAAGGACCTGAGTGGGTAGAAAATGGAGTGGCTTGGCACGCAAGACACCTTGCCACAATTTTGCCAACCTCCGCCAGAAATCGGCCTAGGACATGTACGCAAGACGATTCTTCAAGACGCCGTCTTTTGAGGGACATGTAATGTTGGGTTGCCATGAGCCCCCCTCTAGGAGAAGATGCAGTTTAAACCCATCGCGAGCCGCTCCAACCGTATAATCCATTCGGCTGACGTACCGGCTGCGATAGGGAGAGCTAATTCAGCATCTGTAGTTTTCTATGTTGAGATTGCAGGCTGCGGATGGTTTTATTTGCTCCCGAATTAATGAGAATTTATGCATTTGTCGTTTAGACGTGCTTTGCTGTAGGCGCAGGCGGGGTAGATGTTGCTATACCTAGGGAACGATGTGAAGATGTCCGAATTTACCTATTATGGGGCGTGGAGTTTCTTGCGGCTGCAGCCTTAATCTTTGATGTTTCTTAGGCGCCCAACAGGAAGAGGAGATGAATATATTTTCTCGTTATTCCCGTTATGTAGCTTTTCTTCGGATGGTAACTCAAAGACACATTTAGAATATATTTGAAGGTCTAGGCCACACTGTTGGATTTATTAATAAAGAGATTTGGATTGGGCCCCTAATTAGACCATACGCGGCGACTATTGGTCGAGGTGTTTGGTAAGACGGAGGGTTAGCTTTTCGAACACATGGGGAGAATTATGGTTAGGAAATACCGACGAATATTGTATTAAGGATTATTCGATTGGATTTATTTTGAAAGGAAATTGGAATGATAATTTTTTAGTTATATATGTGTATAAACATATTTAAAAATATAATTAATTACTTTTTAGATCTAATTTTATAATATATATTAAAAATGTTTTATGATATGTAATTGAAATTTCTTTTTTCCCGAATGCGTAGCGAAGGGTTCTCGTTTAATTTTGGTGGTCTGGAGTCTGGGGGTAGGGCCTTGTTCGCGACCCGTTGTTTCTATGTTCGCAACCGTTTGCAACCGACCGCAAGTGCTTGCAACCGTTGGCCGTAGAACGCTAAGGCGCTGCCATTGGGGGAAGCTTTTGCAAGGGACTTTTCATGGATGTGTCACGTGTTAGTTTTGCGCCGCTATTCCATTGTGATTCGCATGACAATGACATATCGCACAAGAAACGTGACGCGGTTCGTTGCACAGGCGCAGGTGTTTGTGAGATCCGCAGTTTGCTGCGCAGTTCCATTGGGATTAGCGTTTGGAGAGTCGTGTTTTTGGGGTGTTGGATGTGGCCGCGCCATTGGGATTTGCGTTTCAGGGTGTGGTATCGAAGCTCTGTTTTCGTGACCAGTCTCAGCTGAAATGGCGATTTTGGTGGATGGGAGTGTGCTCAGAACGGGTCGAAATCATTCCAAGCGTGTGGTGTGGTGCATATTTTGTTGAAGCTGACATGAGATGATATTGTCACGTTTCGTGGCAGGCGCAGTACTTGTGTGGGTTTTGAGGCGTGGAAGCGCGATTCTCGTGGCAGGCGCAGGGAATGGTGAGATTGCGAGGTGTGACGGAGGTGACATTTCGTGGCAGGCGCAGTACTTTGTGCGCGTTAGACGTGTGGACGCGGAAAGATTCGTGGCAGGCGCAGGGAATTGAGAGGTCGTGAGTTGTGGTAGAGGTGAATGTCGCTGTCACAGTGGGATTGGCGTGTGAACGGGTGTTGATTGGAGGGGCTGGACTTGCGAAACTGCTTGGCAGGGCTGCGTGATGTGTGTGCTCCGATGGGTGTTTCCGCTTGACTTTTGGAGGAAGTCTCGTATGAAATGCTCGTTTTGCAGACTTTGACATGTGAGTTTTGGAGGAAGTCTCGTACGAAACGACTTGACACGTGACTTTTGGATGAAGTCTCGTACGAAACGCTCGTTTTGGAGACTTGACATGTGACTTTTGGAGGAAGTCTCGTACGAAACGCTCGTTTTGGAGACTTGACGTGTGACTTTTGGAGGAAGTCTCGTACGAAGAGTGCCCTACAAGAGTGTCCTACAAGAGTATCCTACGAGAGTGTCCCACAAGAGTGTCCTACAAGAGTGTCCCACAAGAGTTTCGCATAAGCGTGTCCTACAAGAGTGTGCTACAAGAGTGTCCCGCAAAAGTGTCCTATAAGAGTGTCCCATAAGAGTGTCCCACAAGAGTTTCCTTCAAGAGTGTCCCACAAGAGTGTCCTACAAGGGTGTCCCACAAGAGTGTCCTACAGGAGTGTCCCACACGAGTGTCCTATAAGAGTGTCCCACAAGACTATCCTACAAGAGTGTCCCACAAGAGTTTCCTACAAGAGTGTCCCACAAGAGTGTCCCACGAGAGTATCCTATAAGAGTGTCCCACAAGAGTGTCCCACAAGAGTGTCCCACAAGAGTGTCCCGTATGAGTGTCCCACAAGAGTGTCCGACAAGAGTGTCCCATAAGTGCAGAGTGTCCTACAAGAGTGTCCCGTAAGAGTGTCCCACAAGAGTGCCCTACAAGCGTGTCCCGCAAGAGTGTCCCACAAGAGTGTCCCACAAGAGCGTCCTACAAGAGTGTCCCACAAGTGTGTCCCGTATGAGTGTCCCACAAGAGTGTCCCACAAGAGTGTCCCGTATGAGTGTCCCACAAGAGTGTCCGACAAGAGTGTCCCATAAGAGTGCCCCACAAGAGTGTCCTACAAGAGTGTCCCGTAAGAGTGTCCCACAAGAGTGTCCTTCCTACAAGAGTGTCCCGTAAGAGTGTCCCACAAGAGTGTCCCACAAGAGTGTCCCTTAGGTCCCTTAAGAGTGTCCCACAAGAGTGTCCTACAAGAGTGTCCCACAAGAGTGTCCCACAAAACTTTCCTACAAGAGTGTCCCACAAGAGTGTCCCACAAGAGTGCCCTGCACGAGTGTCCCACAAGAGTGTCCCACAAGAGTGTCCCACAAGAGTTTCCTTCAAGAGTGTCCCACAAGAGTGTCCTACAAGGGTGTCCCACAAGAGTGTCCTACAGGAGTGTCCCACACGAGTGTCCTATAAGAGTGTCCCACAAGACTATCCTACAAGAGTGTCCCACAAGAGTTTCCTACAAGAGTGTCCCACAAGAGTGTCCCACGAGAGTATCCTACAAGAGTGTCCCACAAGAGTGTCCCACAAGAGTGTCCCACAAGAGTGTCCCGTATGAGTGTCCCACAAGAGTGTCCGACAAGAGTGTCCCATAAGTGCAGAGTATCCTACAAGAGTGTCCCACAAGAGTGCCCTACAAGCGTGTCCCGCAAGAGTGTCCCACAAGAGTGTCCCACAAGAGCGTCCTACAAGAGTGTCCCACAAGTGTGTCCCGTATGAGTGTCCCACAAGAGTGTCCGACAAGAGTGTCCCATAAGTGCAGAGTATCCTACAAGAGTGTCCCACAAGAGTGCCCTACAAGCGTGTCCCGCAAGAGTGTCCCACAAGAGTGTCCCACAAGAGCGTCCTACAAGAGTGTCCCACAAGTGTGTCCCGTATGAGTGTCCCGCAAGAGTGTCCCACAAGAGTGTCCCGTATGAGTGTCCCACAAGAGTGTCCGACAAGAGTGCCCCATAAGAGTGCCCCACAAGAGTGTCCTACAAGAGTGTCCCGTAAGAGTGTCCCACAAGAGTGTCCTACAAGAGTGTCCCGCAAAAGTGTCCTAGAAGAGTGTCCCACAAGAGTGTCCCTTAGGTCCCTTAAGAGTGTCCCACAAGAGTGTCCTACAAGAGTGTCCCACAAGAGTGTCTCACAAAACTTTCCTACAAGAGTGTCCCACAAGAGTGTCCCACAAGAGTGCCCTACACGAGTGTCCCACAAGAGTGTCCTACAAGAGTGTCCCACAAGAGTGTCCTACAAGAGTATCCCACAAGAGTTTCCTACAAGAGTGTCCCACAAGAGTGTG